GGCCCCAGCCCCTGGGGCAGCCACCTCCCCGGGTGCCAGCGCGCCAGGGGGCGCCAAGCCAGGCCCCGCCGGGGCCAACCCGGCCGCAAGACCCGCCAGGCCGCCTGGAGCCGGGCCGCCGCCGGCACTCCGGGGGCAGCGCCCAGGCACTCCGGGTGCAACGCCCCCCCAGGCACTCCGGGGGCAGCGCCCAGCGCCAAGCCACCAGGTGGCCCTGCCGCCGCGGGACCTGCTGGGGCCAGCGCGGCGGGCGCCGCTGCCGGCCGGGCCTCCGGCCGCGGCACGGCCGACATTCACAGCGAAGTGGAAAGCAGGCAGAACATTCAGACGGGCAGCGGCCGCCTCCCGCGCAGCCACGAAGGTGTGCAGGAGAGGCAGCGCTCGAAATGCATGTGCTCGTTGTCCCGCCAGATGTGCTGGCAGACCGCCGCCCGCAGCATGACCCTCGAGCGGGGTCCAGGCCGAGATGTCCCCTCCGGGCATCAGGTCCTCTTCGCAATCGCCGTCAGGAGTGAACCCCGTGAACGAGTGCGGTGGTTGGCTGGAGATCAGCAGGACGCACCTCTCGTGCAACAAATCAGCACCCGCCACGTTGTACTTCACCGCGATGAAATCGCCCTCGAAGACGCCCGCCGCCGTGAGCGCATGGGCCAGCTCCGGCTGTGCAGCAGGCCCCGCCACGCCAGGCCCAGGAGGTGCGGCGGCCGCCCCAGGAGGGACCAGGAGGGGGCCGGCGCCAGGCGCCGCCATGCTTAGCCGCGAAAGGCCACGGCCGCGCGCCTCTCGCGCACGGCGGCGGCCTGGGCCCGAGCCTCGGCAGCGAAGTCCTCCCCCACCACGGAGGTCGGCAGGTGCGGCACGTCTGGCAGCGCCGCCGCCACGCCCTTCGGCTCGCAAGCCGGTGGCGCCGGCCCCTGCGTGCCCGCGCCTGCAGAGCACCGCGGGCAAGCCAGAGCTGGCAGAAGCCGACCAGCGAGGAACCCGATTAGACTGCCCACCGCCAAGCCGAAGGTCAGGAAGCCTACGGCGATGAGGGCCCCGGTGGCGGCCACGTAAGGGATAGACGATCCCTCGGGGCAACGGCAGTCCCCACAGCTCAATGGCGGACAGGCAGGGATGCTGGGGAAGTGGGCCTCGGGGCAGGCGGGGCACACCGCTGCCAGCGAGGCAGTGTAGTAGTGGATGCCCACCACAATGGAATCCTTCAGACCTTCCCACCAGATGTGTTGCATCTGGTGGCTGAGAGCTTGAGCCGACCCAAGTACGGCCCTTCTGCGGTGCAACACATGCTTCACGATGTAAGATATCCCATAATAATAATAACAACAACAATAATAATATAAATGATACCAGTAAAAGAATAAAAATAATGATAATGGGAATAATAGTAATAATAAAATTAATAATAATGATTATAATCATAATAATAATAATAATGAGAATAATGATAATAATAATAATAATAGTAATAATAATAACAATGATCATAATCTGAGACCGTTCGCCCTTATATGCTCGAGTGTCCAATAACGCGTACTTCCAAAACCCTCGATACCCGCCCTCTTCGTCTTCGATCGAACCCGTTTTGGGGGGTATACCTTTCTTCCCTGCAGGCCGGGCCCCGGCAAGCGGCGGGGCGGCCGCGGACCGTCGGCCTGGCCAGCGGCAGCGCTGATCGGCGGGGCGGCCGCGGACCGTCGACCCGACCCCAAGAGGGACGGACAGGGGACCGACCACGACGACGACGACGACAACGACGACGACGTCGAAGACGACGGCGACGACGACGACGGCGACGACGAGCTAAAGCGAGAGCGAGAGAGAACGACAGCAGGGCCACGAAGGGCACGAAGTAGGCCACGAAGGACGACAGAGGGGACACGAAGGGAATGCGCATGGGGTCACGAAGAGCGCGAACGAGCAGGGGCCACGAAGTGCAGATAGTGCGGGGCCACAGAAGGCAACTCTGGGGCCACTGAGGGTAGCAACTGGGCCACGTAGGACAGTAGGGGACACAAATGGTGACAGCGGGGCCACGAAGGGCATGCACATGAGGCCACAACGGACGCGACTCCTGGGTGCCTGGGTGTCGGGAGCGCGGCGCTTGGGCAAATTGCAAAAAAAATCAAACGCAAGGCCATTCTTCAGTAAGTTGCAAGCACGTCTCCAGCGAGAGCGCGACTCCAAAGCGCCGGGAGAGCGATTCCTGAATAAATTGCAAGGAAATCCCAAGCGAGAGCGCGATTCCTGAATAAAATGCGAGGAAGTCTCGGGCGGGAGCGGGGGTCCTGGCTAAATTGTAAAGAAGTCTCAAGCGGGAGCCGTTGTTGTTGTAACCCGGGGGCCAGGGGCCCAGTTTGAGCATCAAGACTTCCCCTGGCAAAAAAACAGGGTGCGCGCGTCGAGGGGCACACTTTGATTGAGAAAAAACAGTATGCACCTGTGGGGGGGGATCAACAATAATATTCTTCAGAAATGAGAATTCGACAGCAACAGCAACAGCAACAGCAACAGCAACAACAACAACAACAACAACAACAACAACAATCACTTTACCCGAACGCTCAGTGTTCTCACCAGTGCCAGGGTTTTCATGCGACGCCAGCCAATACCCCCACTTTGTGGGGGGGCAGTGCAAGCTCTACCAAATATCCACACGACTCTTCGCCACCACCCACACCCAGCTTCCCGCCCTATGACGTTCGGACACTTCACTTCGTGGCCTGCGGACGACCGTGGCTACTACACTGGCGTGGAGTACACACCCACAGAAGTTGTTAGGACAGCGCGCGCGGGTAGAAATTTTGAAAAGTCGTGCAGGTGTTTTTCGAGGACCTACGGTGCGATTCGTGTGATTTTATGATGCGCGGTGCTAAAATTCTTAAGAAGCCCAATGGTTTTTGGAGATTTCGGCGTGCGCGCGCGAAGAAAAAACGAATGTGTCCCGCATGGTATTATTTGACAGGGATGATGGCCCTGGCAGGTGCGCAACCGTTGTCGCAGAAGTTCGAAAAAGTTGCTCGCAAAAGCCCGTTTGACAGAAATGTTTAAAAAGTGTTGGGTTTCCTACGAATCCGCAAGAGCGCGCGGGATGAGATTTTGACATTTTTTTGTTGAAAAACCATTGGTTTTTTGATGTTTTTATGTTAAAATCGCTCCGAACACTAAGCTTTTGGAAGGATTTCGTCTTGCGCGCGCGAATGTCCACTTTACCTTATTTTTTGCAAGGGATTCTTGAAATTTGATTATATTAGAACAAGAAATGTCATTTTATAGTGTTTTTTGCAAGGGAAAACGGATTACAACAAAACAACCGGATCTTGATCACATCGAATTACCTGAGGCTTCCTCACGAAAATGATGAAAATGTGGCTGCGGCCTAGGCGCGGCGGGGGGGGCGCGCACCAGGGGGCCCAACAATAATTATTCTTTAGAATTAATAATGTTCAACAACAACAACCATTTTAAGGCTGTACGCTCTTAATGCCCGCGAGTCATTCAACACGTATACCCTACACCCTCGCAACCCGCCCTCTTCGTCTTCGATCACACCCCTTTCGGGGGAATTATTTCTCTTTGCTGGGGCCGGCGGGCTTAGACGTACGGGCAAACCGGAACGGGCGGACAATCCTTCGGGGGCGTACATCTCTCTGCCCGCCATTGGAATTGGCGCGGGCCCTGCAAGAGGAGGAGGGGAAGAACGAGGGAGAGTGGGAGGAAGGGGAGGGGGAAGGACGAAGGAAGAGGGAAGATACCACGTTGTGAAGGCGTCCTTGGCGCGTGCGTGGTTCCTGAGCGCCGAAACGCAATTCCAGAATAATTTGTGAGGACGTCGCACGCGAGAGCGCAGTCCTGAGTACATTGTGAGGAAATCTCGGGCGGGAGCGGGGCCCTGACTAAGTTGCGAGGAAGTCTCAAGCGGGAGCGCCGTTCCTGAGCAAATTGCACGGAAGTCTCAGGCGGGAGCGGGGGTCCTCACTAAATTGCGAGGAAGTCTCAGGCGGGAGCGCCGTTCCTGAGTCAATTGCGCGGAAATGTCAAGCAGGAGCGGGGGTCCTGAGTAAAATTCGAAGAAGTCTCAGGCGGGAGCGCCGTTCCCACGTAAATTGCACGGAAGTCTCAGGCGGGAGCGGGGGTCTTGATTACATTGCGAGGAAGTCTCAGACGGGAGCGCCTTTCCTGAGTAAATTGCGCGGAAGTCTCAGGCGGGAGCGGGGGTCCTGAGTAAAAATCGAAGAAGTCTCAGGCGGGAGCCGTTGTTGTTGTAGCCTGGGAGGCAGGGGCACAGTTTGAGCAGGAAGACTTTCCTTGAGAAAAAACCAGGTGCGAGCCCCGGGGGTGGCACTTCAATTGAAAAAATCAATGTGCACCGGTGGGGGGGGATCAACAATAATTATTCTTCAAGAATGAGAGTTCAACAACAACAACAACAACAACAACAACAACAACAACAACAACAACAACAACAACAACAAAAACAACAACAACAACAACAACAACAAGATCCATCCGCACCGTGCCACCCTACTTTAGCCACGTGCCCAGGGACAGTGAATGACCGTTCGGCCCCCTTCACTCTGGCTATCGTACACGCGCCAGCCCTGCGGGGGCGTCCTAACGCCGGGCGCCCAAGAGGGGGGTCGCAAATGCTGGCCAGAGGCATGTGCGTATTCGAGGGGAGGGCCAGGGGACACACTGGAAGCAGAAGAGGGGGCCATAAGATCAAGGGAAATACCATGGCCCCGGCCATGATACCCACCTCCTTTTCATCATCCCCCTCTTGGACGCCCCCGAAGACCATCCTCATCGCACACACGCGCCGACTCTGGAGCGCGGATTTTATTATTCGCGATAACGCTCGTGACCAGCCGCTCCCCAACCCCCTGATCACGTCTACATTCGCGCCGCCGCCGTGGGAATTGACCGTTCCTGAGCATTCCCAAGCGGCGCCAGCCCGAATCTTGACGTGACTGGCTCCCTTCTCCTCTCCCCCCCAGTCAAGCCCGTTATCGCCAGGGGACACAGGAAGTGTCCCCTCGGCGGCGACGATAAGGGCGAATAACCCAGGGGCGGGTTTTACGCATCGCCAGAATGCAGGTGTCACGCCCGCCCAATCCGCGCGGGCCGGGCTCGGAGTCACCGAGGTCCTGGTTACTTTAGGTGGGTAGTCTACGTTGGGGGGGGGTACATGTTTTGCTTCCCCCTGGGCTATGCGCCCCTATCGCCCTATCGCCCCCCTGGGCTATTCGCCCCTACCGTCGCCTCCGACCTCCTGGATCGGTTACATGCAAGAATGACTCAAGGCAACAGGTGACCTTTGGTGCGCGGCGTACCGGGGGACGCGGGGTGGCCAAAACCAGGCGCGGAAGCCGCTGCTACCGCGTCGCGTTCAGCGATCAGGGGACCCCATTGGGCCCGCGACAAAGGTCACTCCAACGAAAGGTCACTCTCACGTCTAGCCGACTGGACCCATGATCGGCCCTGGCCGGAGCTGGCGCCGGCGGACAGCTGGAACCTCCCACAAGTGCGCGGGCCGACGGCCGACCGGTGCAGTGGCGGCGGGGGGCGCCGGCTGGCCGGGGCCCCCTGGTCGTCACGGGGAAAGCGGAGGGCGCGCCTGCGGCGCACCCTGGCGGAAAGAGAGGGGTCCTGGAGGGGACTGGGGCGGCTGCCCCTGCAGTGCCACCCTCACAGGGGTGAGGGTGCTCAGGGGTGAGATTTTGGAGCCCAAGCCTAGCTTTCTAGCTCATTTGCCTTTGCCCCAGGGCACCTTTAGGGCTCACTGCATCTTGTAAGTAGCAAGTGTCAGCGCCGAGACATCGGTAGGCCTCTGGGCTAGCCCATGGCAAAACTTCCAGTCGACAGGTCAGGGGAGCAGCGACCTACAAAAGGAATGTGAGGGAGGGAGGGGGGGGCAAGCTAGGTGCACTCGCGCCACATCTGACATCCTATCCCTCCCTCCCTTTCCCATGGCGCGGATTGTCTCTGTCCGCGGAAGCGTGTGATAACCAACCTGGAACTGCAACAGAAAGCTCATCGTTTGTTATGCTGTCGGAGCAGGGGAACTGCGCACATAGGAGGAGGAGGTGGCAGAGGAGCAGGATTCGGAGGTGAACAAACCTTCCTTTACTAAACCACCATTTAGTGATGACGGCCTAAGACCGAGGACCTGGACCCGAAAAAATGACGGCCGCGACGCCCTCTCGCGCACCGAAAACGGCCAATTCGTTAATCGACGCGTCAGGGTAGGAGGTCTATCAACCTCCGAAGGATGATGAGGAAGACAAGGAGGAGGAGGATAAAGAAAGAGGACGGGGGCGAACAGCAGCAGCAGAAACTGGAGGAATGGAATGAGTATGAAGGAATGGGAAGAGCAGATGACGAGGGGAAGGCGGAGGAGGGGAAATAACGGGGCGGCAACGATGACAAAGGACTCCGATCCATCCAGAAAAGTGGCCCGCGCTGGGTCGAGAGCGCCATCCTGGGTGAGAGCAAAGAGCCGATCCTAAAATGAGGCCCGCGCTGCAGCGGGAGCACCAGCTTGAAACACCTACAAAATGTCGAAACGCGAATACACATAAGAAAATCAACGTTTCAAATATTGTGTGGTATCGTACAGTACGCGGAGAGGGCGAGACATCTTCCGGACAGAGTCAGGGGAGAGAAGAGAGCAGTGTTCATAATGGAACATTGTCAAGCTAGGTGCGCTCTTGCCATATCTGACATCCTGTCCCTCCCTCCCATCCCTTCCAATTGTGCGATTCCTGCTCTATCCGCGGACGCGTGTCATAACCGATCTGCAATTGCAAAAAAAAAAAAAAAACATTGTGTTATGCGCAAATCGGAGAACGGAAACTTGTGGGACCTGTGCGATCTGGGGGACCTCTGTGGCCTGTGGGGCCTGTGAGACCTGCGACACCTGTGGTGCCCGCGAGACCTGCGAGACCTGTGGGGATCCTGTGCAACATGCGACACCTATTGGACCTGCAGGACCTGCGGGACTTGTCGGACCTGTGGGACCTGTGGGGCATGCGAGACCTGCGACACTTGTCGGACTTGTGGGATTTGTGGAACATGTCAGACCCGTGGTAATTACATGTGGGACCTGTGGGACGACCTGCGACACCTGCCGAAGAAGGAGGGGCAAGCAGGACGGGACGATCGCAACAGTTCTCGGGTCACCTGCGCACTCCGTGGCGACATGTGGCAGAGATTCACCAGCGGCTAGATTTACAACAACATCCCAGAAGTAAAAAAAACACTGGCGGGAAGAACTGAAGTGGCCAGCCTCGCGAACGTCACCACATTCAGGGGGAAGGGGAAGAGGAGGGGGACGAGGACGGAGGACGCGGGAGGAGGGAGGAACGCCAGCTGGCGTATGAAACGAAATTGCCTTGGTTCGTATCGGGCCCGCGGATGGATATGAAGTTGCGCGGGAAGCCCACCTGGAGCGACCAAGCGGCGGCAAGGAACAGGAGGAGGAACGGGAACAACGGGAGGAGGACGAGGACGAGGAAGAAGAGAAACGACGAAACACTAGCCTGAAACAGTGCGCCGGCCAACCTGCGATAGGCGAGCCGGTCTGCGTCGACGGATGAGCAGATTTATACAAGCCCTATGGCCAAATTACCAAACAACAAAAATCTACCAGCAGGAGAAGGGGACAAGAAGGAGGAGGAGGAAGAGGGACAAAACCACCAACAATAGCCCCGGACTCGGGGGAGACTCGCCTGCCTCGCGGCGACCGGTCGCAAATCGTGCTACAAACATGATGAACCAATAACTAGCAGCACCACGCCACTACGAGAGGAGAAACAAGGAGGACGACGGACACGACAAGCAGCAGCGGAAGCAGCGGCAGCAGCGGCAGCAGCGGCAGCAGCAACAGCAGCAGCAGAGGCAGGAGGGAGGAGGGGAGAGGCTAGGAGATCCAGGCAGCTCGGGCGTGCGCCGCGGCACGGGGGTGCGCGGCACACGCCTCGCGAGCAAAATGGGCCAGCGCCTCGGCCGCACTGGACGTGCCGCCGTGCCGTCGCGCCGCTATGGCGGAGTGCACCGCGAAGAGACAGATCGCTCTGCGTGCCAGCTCGCTCACCGTCTCGGGCGTGAACTGGGGCTGGAGCACCAGGAACTGGTCCAGGTCGGCATACGTCATGCCCAGCTTGGCGCGCGCGAAGGTGGCGATGGTAGGACAGCACGCGTAATGGCGTAGATTGTCCTCGCCTCGCCCGCAGCCGAATATGCATGCCGCCCGTGTCTGAAAATTCGGCGGCGGCGTCCAGCCGTTGGTGTACGTTTTGAACAGCCTGCCAGGCAATAGGTTCAGGGTGCACTTGTCCAGCTCCCAACGTAAGTGCCGGAATACTGCGTCCCGTAGAACTGCTTGGAGTAGTACGCGGCACCGCTTCTGCCATTCCGCGCGCGGCGCGGGCTGCGAAGACTAGCCCTGGAACAGCAGGGTGACCGCGGCGCTGGAGGCACGAGCAAGATTATCCAGTCGATCTTGGGCCTCCTGGACGTTCTGGAGAAAGCGCGAGCCATGCCACGCGTGCCAAGCCACGACGCGGCCCGAGTGGTCCGCGTAGGAGGCCAAGCTGCGAAGATGCGCCTGTCGCGGTGGGATGTTTAAGCCTCCGGCTGCGCGATTGCCCCACCTGTGGACGCGGCACTTGGCGGCCAGCGCGCACAAGCGCAGGTCGGGAAGCTCGGCGTGGAAGCCCAGGACCCACAAGTTCCGCAGAGTGCTCGGCGGAGCCCAGCCGCGAGGGCCAAGTAATAAATCGAGCACAACTTGGCTTCCCCCCCAACACGAAGGCGTTCTGTCCAGCTGAATGAAGAAAGAGAACAATGGAAATAACTGAAAGCGGTACGCCTCGATGGCGATGAGAAGGCCACCCCCCATGGCACTCCATAGCCGAGCCCGCTGAGTGGCCTCATCCACTGCCTTGTCCCAGGCGCGGTCGCCGCGCTCCGGGCCGACCGCGAAGTCCGGGTAGGCGGCGCACCTCTGGACGTCAAAATCCGCCCAGGTTGGAGCACGGGCGTGGAGACTGTCTCGCACGGCTGGCAGCGGCCTCAAGCATAACGGAACCCACACTGATTTGCCACGGTGTAGGCGGAGTCTGGAGATTGTCGCGCACTCGTCAAAGAGTGGCTCCAGAATATCGGCGTGGCGAACGCCCCGGGCGAGGACGACGGCCAGGTCGTCGGCGCACGTGCGGGGAACAGCATCTGGGACCGCACGCAGGGGGCGACGGAGAAGGACGTCGGAGACACTGGGGAAGAGGAGAAGGGAGAGAGGGCATCCCTGGCGCACACCCGCAGTCGACGCGAACCCTGCGTAGTTTTGCCCGCCCACCTTGATGCGGCAGTTGTTGGCGTGATAGATTGCTTTCACGAACCAGATGCTCCACGAGGGCCACCGGCGCGAGGCGAGCACACCCATCAGGAACTCCTGCGAGATGCTCGGGAACGCCGCCTCGAAGTCGAAAAAAAAAAAAAAAAAAAAAAAAAAAAAAAAAAAAAAAAAAAAAAAAAAAAAAGCTGCGGAGGAGTTTTGCGTCAGGGAGGCCTTCAACATCTCTTCCCCGATATCGATGAGGTTCGAGATCATGAACCTGCCCTTGATGAAGCCCCTCTGCACAGTCGAAACGCCCCCCTCGACCAGCGGCTCGATGCACAGACACACAGCGCTGCAGAGTATGCGATTATCGGTGTTGGTGATGTTGAATGGACGGGTGCTGCTGGCAGCATACGCGTCGACGCATTCCGCTGTCGTGCCGACGGGCTCCTCGGGGAGGAAAACCATGATGCCCTCGTTTGAAGTCGCCCAATCCTCCTCCAGAAGTTGCACTCCATCCTCCCCAACGATCGCGAGGCGCGCGTCGTGCAAGGCCACCGCGGCCACATTGCCAAGCTGGCGCCACGCCTTGCATGAGATACCGTCCGGACCTGGAGAGGAATTTGAAGCGAAGCAGACGGCCCTCTTGAAATCCTGCAGCGCGACGGGGCAGCCTGGGATGGAGTCGCGCGCTCTCGGGGGCAGGGATGCGGCGCCCACGTCAAGCCATGTTCTCCGGATATCCTGGCCCGTGGGCTTCCGCGTGAAAACCTTGGACCAATGAGAACGCAGGCTCCTTGCCATGCCCTCCGGGCAGATGGATGCCGAGCCGCTCTCGTCGACGATGGCGAAAGTGTCGCAAGCTCGACCCGGCGCGAGGCGTCGCAGAAGACGGTGATTCCGTTGTCTTCGTTTGTGGATCGTGCCCGCATCCAGGCCCTGTAAATTCGAATGGAGCTTGCCTAACTCGTCCATGGCATGCTCTTTGGCTGTGTCAACGGCATGCGCACGAGCCAATCTGAGCCGCCGGTGAACTGACCCGCCCCGCCGATAGGGATTGTCGACCAGGTTTGCCAGAGCAGGGTATCGTCCCATGCAGGCGTTGATGCCAGAGATGGAGCCTGTTTCCACGGAGCGGATGAACTTCATGGTGGCACCGATTGTCCTCGAGCGTGAGCGCGTCTGGCGATGGTGGCGCCGAATGCTGCAGATGGTGCGAAGCATCCTCCATAGCTTTCTTCAGCAGGTTTAACTTTGTTTAAGGGGCGAGGCGCCCGGGGCATCCCGAACGAGAGCGCCCAATGCCAACAAAACCTGTCGGACCCAGTCCGGGTGGTCAATCGCGGAGTCGGGGAGGATCGGGTCATCCTGGCCGTCGCGCTGCGGGAGCGTG